TTAAAAATGTAGATTATATTATTAATATCATATAGCCTTAAAGATTCTAAAAACAATTGTACGTAAATATTGCTCGAAATATCATTATATTTATCGAATCAAAAAATATTATAATTTATTTAAAAACGTAAATCTGACTTATTTAAAAAAGATTAAAAAGATATCAAATAAAAGATAAAAATATTATATAATCTTAATCGCGATAAAACGTAAAGACAGAAGCAAAATATTTAATTCATGCAGTCTATCCTCGTAATATTAAATTGCAGTCAATCTATATAAACATATACATTTTTAAGATAGATTACAAATATTTATGTTTATATGATATTTTACAAAGATATGCAAAAATAAAAAAGTCTATCGATCAATTATCAATTCTTATAGGAAAGCTTCATAAAACTTTCGAAAGGATTGCGCGAAAAGTTTCCTTTTTATTCGATCGACCTGTTTATCTCGATATTTTATCCGATCTCATTCACTTTCTTCGAATTACGACATTAAGATGTATTTTAAGAGATTTTCTTTGTTATGAATAAGACATAAGCCGATAAAGAAATAAAAGAGGATGGGGGAAATCGATTTATACTAGATACTATTCTTAACCAAGATAAACATTCAACATATACACACACAGAAAACAAACATTTAACGGGAAACGATTATAGAAAGTAGATCTGAAACAAATTTTTAAATAAAAAGAGAGAGATGTGTGTGATCTATTATAATTTAAATATACACATACACACACATATTTAATACATTGCGTGTGGAAAAATTGTGTGAGTGGATTTATGTATGCTATACTGTATAAAAACAGAATTTGTAAACATTTTATAATTAGCAACTCTATCTTGTTTCTTTAATAATATAAAATATATTCATACAAGAGAGTTCAGTCTCTAATTTCAAACTCTTTAGCTCGGCCTTTGTGAATTTTTCATTCCAAAAATATTTTTGAAGACAGTGACGAATAAATGTGAAAACGGAAGAATTATTTAATTCGAGGACCTTTGTTGCGTTTAATTTCGTATGCTACCATCGAGTGCCATTCAAAAGAGCAACTAACTGCTTTTGGAGGTTCTCGATTTTCACTCCCTCGTCCGTTACTGTCGTTTGCATCTCTAAAACAGCCCCGATAGTAACCCGCTGTTTATGCAAATTGTACGACCGTACATTTTTTCAACGAAAGGCAAAATTTACGGAACCGAACGCGCACAATGTTGCGTTTGCATTCGCAAATCAAATAAATTCGATCATTAATTACATTTCCCTTGTCTCGTTGTCAATAATTAAAGAATGTTTTAAGAAAGTAAAAAATGATCCGTTTAAGTTAACTTATTAGATCAACTAATCAATAATCTTGTTTTTTACGCTTAATTGGTAACTGTTAAAAAAATTAGTCGCATTCCCTGTGTTTCTACAAGTCAATCAAATTAATTAACACTATCTCAATCTTAGATAAGGCCGCTGATAGCTAATTAATTCGGATGTAGTTAATTGGGCCAGCTCAGTAAACATTATCGAACACACACATGCGTTACGTTAGTTAAATAGATCGCTAATAAGCTCAAACAGATATGAATTAAATATATTAAGGCCGTGGAATAATACGTCATCATTCCTTGTGTGAAAAACAGTATACAAGTATATCGTTACATTTTGGACGCTACAATCTCTATGTTAAATACTATCAAGTCCAAATTTTTTGCCTTTTCACACATGTTAACACGTTAAATATAGTATGACTATATTTAAAAAGATAACGTTATATAATACGATTGACTTGCTACCTTAAAAATAGAGGGAATACGACTATTTTTTTTTAATATTTCCACAAAATTATCAAGAATTACCAAAGTTACCAAGGATTACGAATTAAATGTGAAAAGATAAAATTATTGATTAACTATTGATTAACCATTAGTTAATCTCAGTGAGCCATTTTCATTTGCTTAAAACACATTCTTTATTTATGTACTTGTTTGTATAAAAAATCTACTCATCTCTCTCGCTCTCTTTCTTTCTCTCTCCCTTTTTGAAATTACAAGACATATACATATATGTAGTATATAGATTTAGTATAAAGTCAGCAACAACGATAATATATAACTCGAAATTTAATCTAATGGATGGCTTAACGAAAGCTTCCACTGTTGAATATATTTGTATTAGGTACGCGCACATACACACATGAGCTCCTCCATTAAGAGATTGATTCTGTCTAAATTCTGACGAGGTATTTATAGGAATTTGCCGGAAATTTGGGAAATTCGAGGCGAGAAGTATGGTACGTAGGATGCGCTCATGGATCCGCTCGCGGAATTGGGGGCTAAAAGGATAAAAGAGCCAAAATCTGCGCAACCGAGGGCTGACGTAGCGGAAGCTCGAGTCTCGCATTAAACGTCCGAATATTCGGCAATGTCTCGGAGATATCTTGAAGATTTCCCGTCTCTGATCGCCCATATAACGCTTGACGTACGTAAAGTCGATGACACGTGCGATAGAAACTCGCGAAACTTGGAAAGCAATAATCTCAACTTAGCACCGAGATGACAGTTCCAGTCGTCGAGACTTTATGAAAAATGTTTATTGTTTTTCCGGCCGTATATAAGTATAAAATATTCAAATGGGATTTATCCTGAAGATTATGTAGAAATATGCTGCAATAATAGCACGGGAAATTATATTTTTATAGTCGACTTGCAGAACATTGCAGTTTTACACGCTTTTCTCTTTCTATCTCGAAAAATCTTTAAAATATTTAAATATATAGAGGGTAAATTAATCAAAGAAATAAATATTTAATATTAAAATATTCGAAAAAATTATTAAAACTCAATATCTTCGGAGAATCTTCAAGCACGGAATGTAAAAAAACTGTTACAAAAATGAAGAAAGCTAATAGAGAGAATATTAAACTTTTATATGGTAAACTGTATTATATCATGCATATTGCGTGTAACGAACCGTGTGCAATAAAATCCATCTAGGATTCACGCAGCCTCATCTTGCGGATGTCTCTCGTGATTTTAATGCAAAGGCGACTTAAAGCACTCGGAGTCAAGGTAGATGGGTCGTCTCTTTACCGGACGACATCCGCGAAACTTTCCTGCTTTTTTTTCCAGAAACGGCTCTGCATATTTTCCGACATTTAAACTTATCCAACGTAGTTCTCGAGCGACGAAACGAGGAGGAGGCGAGAATGTACGCCGCAACGAATAACTTTCTTTTTTCCCCGCTCATCCGTCCGATTTCCCTTCGCCTTAGTTTTCCATAGTAATTTCATGAATACTAAAGCATCTCTTTCTTACTTTGTACTTGTATTTTCTCTTTGTGGCGGCGGGATTCAGTTGGCTACGCATTGAACCGATTGAGCTGGAAAGAAAAATGCACATCTCTTCATATTCTTGAAAAATGTGATAACGTTATTATATTTACTTTTAAGATAGAAGGTGCACGATGGAATATGCATTGGCTGATAATATCTTCTAGTAAAGATTTACCTCATTCACTATTTAAAGATAATACGCAGATTTTATATTCTTTGAGAGACCATTTTATGCCTATAATAAAGATTTTATATATATATGTATAATAATAAAAAGTTGAATATTAATCTCCCAAATATACGAAAAAAAATTTTTTTTTTTTGGAATTTTAAATTTAGTTATAAAATATGTGAGCGATTTATTTAGATAAAAGAACATTTTTTCTTCTTATTATTAGACATTTATAGAAACAAATAAAACAATTCGCAATTTAAAAACTGCAAAGTTCTCTTATAACACCGTAACTCTTATAACATCGTAATTAGCGAAATCGAGCAGTGTGTTCGACCTGACCTCAGTTTTACCAGTTTTAAGAAAAAAACAAAGACGTCGATAGAGGTTACATTGGGAAGTCGAGAATAGCGAAAGTTTCGTCTCAATTGGGTGAACGACGTCGACGCTTTCAGGCGACGCCGGAAATCGAGAGAACGTGGTCTGATAGCTTTCGTGTTCCTGTTCGATTTAACTTCAAAGACTAAGTTACGCGTTCACGTTGTTACAAAACTTTATCGCCGTAACAATAATATTTTTACGTTAGTAATAGTAGCTCCGTTAATCCCAGACGGATCCCAGAAACCATATGTGATGCTCGAGTTCAATACAGGATTACCTTCTTCTATTTATCCATTTTCTCATAAATGATTTCGTAATATTAATAAAATTAAATTCGTTCCATTTTAAAGAAAAATATTTTATCAAAACAATAAAGTATCCAAATTTCATAAGTTATGTACACATACATATGTAATAATGTATTTTTTAATTATTAAAGATAATACACGGATTGTCACATAAAAATACTTATTGGAATGAAAAGAGAGCTTGTTTTATTTTAGAAGTCGATTAATCGTTTTAAACAACGCATGTCCTTCCCCTCCTACACAGCAGAATAAAGAGATGGATATATTATTTGCATGTCGAAAAGCTCGGTTCCCCTGAATCTTTATGTAAATATGCTTTCATCCTGCTGACTTTTGATCCATCGATTCGCTTGCCTATTTACTCATAAAATTCAAATACCATTATGTATCATTATGGCCGAGCAAATATTTCCGCAGAAAAAAATTATTTAATAAAAAATATCTGATGGGTCATTTCACACATTTTGAGTTGAATATTTAAATATGGATATCCATAAATACTGTAGCAGCAGAAGTTTACATTTTCTATAAATTTAAATAACATAATATGACGCAAATACACTTTATTAACGCTCATTTTTAATTAATAAATGCAGCACTTAATTACAATTTAAATGCAATAATGCTATTCGCAAATTATAGCTGAAAATATCACCTTTAAAATCGTATATAATATATAAACATTATCAGTATTGTTACTCATATTACATGTATGTAACGTCAGCTAAAAAATTATTCGGTGTTGTTAATGTTGCATGTGCAAAGGTTTTCCACGTCACTGAAGCTCGTAACTTTTATGATGTTTCAGACATGCATTGGCTCGTTTGCACCTGCATCCTCACGGCGACCACGGTGTTTTCCTGCCGGCAGAGCGAGTTTCAGTGCGCCAACGGGCACTGCGTTGCCCTCAACAAAGTCTGCAACGTTGTCGACGACTGCGGGGATGGAAGCGACGAGACGCGTCCGTGCTCGCGTGAGTGAAACTTTTGCCCTCGAGTTTTGCCGCCCACACAGAAGGCCCGAAGGGGCTTTCATCGGGGCGCCGATAAATGCATATAATGCATATCCACTTGACGAGCTAACGCAATCACGGATAACCGCCAGACAGAGCGGAGATCATTGAAGTCGGTTGAAATGATATCCGAGATCCCGAGGCATTAAGTTTCGGCTTTCGCAATCTCATTTCGAAATATCTGTTTGTCATCGTGTCAAATATCGACGATGATATGGATTCCCTAAAAAAAATTTTTACCAGTTAGTAAATAGAAAAAAATTTCACCAAATTCTCTGAATTAAATAAATAGTTCAATCTTTTATTAAAATGCGCGTTCCACTGTTTTCATATATGTACTGGCTATGCTGCTCGTATTAATACTTTATAAATAAAGTTATATTTGCACAATGTAACATTTTATCCTCTTTTACACTTTAATGAAATATTTTGCGCACGATCTGCAAATGCATTTGTGTGAGAGAGCAAACGGCCAAATCGTGTATCAAACGTCCGTGTTTAACTTGCAACCGCGAGTATTTTGGTCTCAATTCCCATTGCCGATGTGCTCTAGCACGGTAATTGATCCATTCAATGTTCTCTGGCAGGCTGCTTCGATAACCGCTTCGCTGCGATTGCCGGCAAAGGCCGGCATGTGCAGGAATTTCTACTTCGTTAGAGAGGCCGACCTCTCTACTTTCTTCCTCCTCGTACGAATCAGTCGTTGCGATGCAGCTGCGCAGCGTGTAAAGACGGAATGAAATTCCAGTAACATTACAAGAGTGATATTACAGCATAGCTGTTCTCAAAGAAAACTTTTCGTTAATATTACGCGGTATATTCGAGAGTGTTTCACCGTGAAATTTCAAACGTTCAATAATATGTATATAATATAGATTTAAATTAAATTCGAAGCGTCGTCGACATCGTGGTACAATCAGGATAAGGATGATTGCAATTGATTACCAATCGGGAATATATTTGCAATTACATTAACAAAATTTATATTATATAAAGATTTAAAAGCACGCTTTTAAATAAAAATAAAAGCTGTTTTAAAATAATTTATTTGTAGTCTCGTAATATATGTACGAGATGATATTTATGGTAATAATTTAATATATTTTTTATTGTGTGTGCACAAATGTTTTCATGTAAATATAATTTATAAAAATAACAATTCGTAATAATAATAATAATAATAATCATAAATTGATATAAAATAAATCTTAATTTTCCATAAAAGATTCTTTATATCGAAACGGTATCATATAAATAAATTTCAAAAAGATAGTAATTTTTCTTTACTAATTTTATGACAAAAAAGTTTTAGGAACTAACAATAACGATAAATATTTCGCTCAATATCACGTTCGCCAACGAAAAAAATATCGGAACATTATGCGAATCGTTAATAGAAATATATTGTGATGGAAACACTCAACTGCTATTGCAGCGCGATGTAATGTTGTTCGTGTTGGAGTAAATTAATTGCAACAGATCGAAGGCTGTAATATTGATCACGTTAATTGACTCACAAATGTGATAGGAATTCTGATATTTATTTGTGCGAATATTTAGCGACAGTTTTGTATGCATTACATTACAGCTTCGTTCATTAATTAAATTATTACATATTGCATTAATTCTTGAGTATCTGCATCTTGAATTGCGCGATAAAATCTGCGAGACTAACGATATCGTGAACTCGCGAAAAAATTATTTGACGTAGCGGTTTATCGTTATATAACGGAAAAATCGATCGAAGCTGGCGTGTACAGCAGCTACTTCATTTCGCGAGAATCTACGACGTGCCCGACGAGATGATCCTATACGTAAGAGACAAGGGACGCTCCCCTTAGTCAGACCTGCCTGTTATCGACAGATCGTGATAAAATAGAGCAGTTCGAGCGAACGATTCGGCGACAAAAAACGGATTCGTTCCTTAGTCGTACGTGTCCACCTTTTCTCGGCATCGTCTAATTTCACTGGATTTATTTTTCTTTCTCAGCATATCCGTTAAAGGTGCCAATTGCCATGTCAAAATGACGAGACTCATACCAATACTTCATGATTTATGTAAATTATCGTAGTTTAAATATTAAGTAAACTAATTTTAATTTTAGAGGAAAAAATCTCTTCCAAAGATTGGAAGGGGTATTTTTGAAATAATTTACTACACATATTATCTTAATATTAGGTAATTCTCCTTGAAACTGGTTTGACAACGATAATTGATGAATGTAGCATGCAATGTAATTTTAATTTAATGCTTTACGCCAAATTTACTTAACAATCTAAATGTTTCGGAAAGGAGAATCGATGTATAATTAAATTTCCGCTGTCATTGTAGAATTTCTCCAAAACTGTCTGGGCAAAATGCATCTTACTGTCAATTACAATTTAAGCAGGTGCGTACGGCATTTGAGAAGGGTTTCGAGTAAATCCCCGACCGAGTCTTCGCTCCAAGACAACTAAGCTGGAATCCTCGCCACGTGCACGCAGTAAAACGTTTGCCAAAATACACGACGGTCGTTTGCATGGCTGCCGGAATTTACTGAATGCTCCGGCGAGGCCATCAGCGACGTCGTAGTCGTTTAATCTGCCCGGGGTTTTCGACTAAACCTCCCCGCGTATACGAGGGGCTGCTCCTACCCTTCTCGCCTCGGTAGCACTTTGGGCAAAAGCAACCAACCAACCAACCAACCCTTTCCAAAACGCGGGACCCGCGTGTGTGTTTGGCGTAATTAACCCAAGTTATGAGATGCGTTTATACACGGCGCGTACACACGGTACAACGCGGGCAGGAAATTATTTCTGGCAACGTGAACATTCCTTTATTCGCGCGAGCAACAATGGACTTTTTATTGCGGGCACGAAATGAAAATGTTTCTGTTCTCGTTTACGTCGAAATGCCCCGCTGATCGATATTAGAATCTGATGTTTATGAAATAATCCTTTTGCAAAATAATCACTATGAGAATAAAAACGGATTGAAGCTCTCCCCCCTCCCCCGCCCCTGTAAATACCGGACTAATAGAATTAACTTTTTGATATCAAAGTTTTATACGTATCTCACGTTTTTATAAAAGTAAGAGATATTTTCGTGTTGGAGTAAATTAATTGCAACAGATCGAAGGCTGTAATATTGATCACGTTAATTGACTCACAAATGTGATAGGAATTCTGATATTTATTTGCGAATATTTAGCGACAGTTTTGTATGCATTACATTACAGCTTCGTTCATTAATTAAATTATTACATATTGCATTAATTCTTGAGTATCTGCATCTTGAATTGCGCGATAAAATCTGCGAGACTAACGATATCGTGAACTCGCGAAAAAATTATTTGACGTAGCGGTTTATCGTTATATAACGGAAAAATCGATCGAAGCTGGCGTGTACAGCAGCTACTTCATTTCGCGAGAATCTACGACGTACCCGACGAGATGATCCTATACGTAAGAGACAAGGGACGCTCCCCTTAGTCAGACCTGCCTGTTATCGACAGATCGTGATAAAATAGAGCAGTTCGAGCGAACGATTCGGCGACAAAAAACGGATTCGTTCCTTAGTCGTACGTGTCCACCTTTTCTCGGCATCGTCTAATTTCACTGGATTTATTTTTCTTTCTCAGCATATCCGTTAAAGGTGCCAATTGCCATGTCAAAATGACGAGACTCATACCAATACTTCATGATTTATGTAAATTATCGTAGTTTAAATATTAAGTAAACTAATTTTAATTTTAGAGGAAAAAATCTCTTCCAAAGATTGGAAGGGGTATTTTTGAAATAATTTACTACACATATTATCTTAATATTAGGTAATTCTCCTTGAAACTGGTTTGACAACGATAATTGATGAATGTAGCATGCAATGTAATTTTAATTTAATGCTTTACGCCAAATTTACTTAACAATCTAAATGTTTCGGAAAGGAGAATCGATGTATAATTAAATTTCCGCTGTCATTGTAGAATTTCTCCAAAACTGTCTGGGCAAAATGCATCTTACTGTCAATTACAATTTAAGCAGGTGCGTACGGCATTTGAGAAGGGTTTCGAGTAAATCCCCGACCGAGTCTTCGCTCCAAGACAACTAAGCTGGAATCCTCGCCACGTGCACGCAGTAAAACGTTTGCCAAAATACACGACGGTCGTTTGCATGGCTGCCGGAATTTACTGAATGCTCCGGCGAGGCCATCAGCGACGTCGTAGTCGTTTAATCTGCCCGGGGTTTTCGACTAAACCTCCCCGCGTATACGAGGGGCTGCTCCTACCCTTCTCGCCTCGGTAGCACTTTGGGCAAAAGCAACCAACCAACCAACCAACCCTTTCCAAAACGCGGGACCCGCGTGTGTGTTTGGCGTAATTAACCCAAGTTATGAGATGCGTTTATACACGGCGCGTACACACGGTACAACGCGGGCAGGAAATTATTTCTGGCAACGTGAACATTCCTTTATTCGCGCGAGCAACAATGGACTTTTTATTGCGGGCACGAAATGAAAATGTTTCTGTTCTCGTTTACGTCGAAATGCCCCGCTGATCGATATTAGAATCTGATGTTTATGAAATAATCCTTTTGCAAAATAATCACTATGAGAATAAAAACGGATTGAAGCTCTCCCCCCTCCCCCGCCCCTGTAAATACCGGACTAATAGAATTAACTTTTTGATATCAAAGTTTTATACGTATCTCACGTTTTTATAAAAGTAAGAGATATTTTTGTATGATACAAAACGTGTAAGATCGTAGTTTGCAGCATTATGTTTATTACATACAATTAACATTACTTCCGTTATATATTTGAGACCTCTGTAAAAAGATAGCGTAAAATGTTGCTAAAAATAGATATAATAATAAAAAATATTTATTTTGTGTGTACGATTCATAATCTCTTGTCTCATTTATTTTAATTAATTGACGTTAATCAACGTATATGCGGTAGCATTACACGTTCACCTTTACAGGCA